TTATGTGCAACTGATCAAACGAAATTTTTCGAGCCTTTAATTTGGCGTTAAAATAATTGATATATCTTTATTACAGCCGGAGATATTTGTATTTTAGTAAACAAACTTTTTTTGATTAAAATTTCATTTTTTAGTTTTATTTAGAAAACTATTCTCCTGAGATTTTTTTTCTGATTACAGTTTTGGATTCAGCACAAGATTTTACATGGGAAATGACCGCATAAAGTTCAAATATGCTGTAAACTAGTGTTATCTGATTCTGAATACCTAAACTTTTAACTTTCTGATTTTCAGATAGTCTGGCTGGGGGCTGTTCCTTACCAGAATGGCTGATTATATGATTTTGTTATTTTCTGATTTCCTGATTTCCTGATTTCTTGATTTCCTGATTTCCTGATTTCTTGATTTCCTGATTTCCTGATTTCCTGATTTCCTGATTTCCTGATTTCCTGATTTCATGATTTCTTGATTTTCTTCTTTTCTAATTTTCTAATTTTCTGATTTCCTGATTTTCTGCTATCCTGATTTCCTGATTTCCTGATTTCCTGATTTCCTGATTTCCTGATTTCCTGATTTCCTGATTTCCTGATTTCCTGATTTCCTGATTTCCTGATTTCCTGATTTCCTGATTTCCTGATTTCCTGATTTCCTGATTTCCTGATTTCCTGATTTCCTGATTTCCTGATTTCCTGATTTCCTGATTTCCTGATTTCCTGATTCTGATTTCCTAATTCCTTGATTTCCTTATTTCCTGATTTCCTGATTTCCTGATTTTCCGATTTCATGATTTACTGATTTCCTGATTTCCTGATTTCCTGATTTTCTGATTTTCTGATTTTCTGATTTTCTGATTTCCTGATTTCCTGATTTCCTGATTTTCTGATTTCCTGATTTTCTGATTTCCTGATTTCCTGATTTCCTGATTTCCTGATTTCCTGATTTTCTGATTTCCTGATTTCCTGATTTCGTGATTTCCTGATTTCCTGATTTCCTGATTTCCTGATTTCCTGATTTCCTGATTTCCTGATTTCCTGATTTCCTGATTTCATGATTTCTTGATTTTCTTCTTTTCTAATTTTCTAATTTTCTGATTTCCTGATTTTCTGCTATCCTGATTTCCTGATTTCCTGATTTCCTGATTTCCTGATTTCCTGATTTCCTGATTTCCTGATTTCCTGATTTCCTGATTTCCTGATTTCCTGATTTCCTGATTTCCTGATTTCCTGATTTCCTGATTTCCTGATTTCCTGATTTCCTGATTTCCTGATTTCCTGATTTCCTGATTTCCTGATTTCCTGATTTCCTGATTTCCTGATTTCCTGATTTCCTGATTCTGATTTCCTAATTCCTTGATTTCCTTATTTCCTGATTTCCTGATTTCCTGATTTTCCGATTTCATGATTTACTGATTTCCTGATTTCCTGATTTTCTGATTTTCTGATTTTCTGATTTTCTGATTTCCTGATTTCCTGATTTCCTGATTTCCTGATTTCCTTATTTTCTGATTTCCTGATTTCCTGATTTCCTGATTTCCTGATTTCCTGTGATTTCCTGATTTCCTGATTTCCTGATTTCCTGATTTCCTGATTTCCTGATTTCCTGATTTCCTGATTTCCTGATTTCCTGATTTCCTGATTTCCTGATTTCCTGATTTCCTGATTTCCTGATTTCCTGATTTCCTGATTTCCTGATTTCCTGATTTCCTGATTTCCTGATTTCCTGATTTCCTGATTTCCTGATTTCCTGATTATTTGATTTTTTGATTTTCTGATTTCCTTATTTCCTGATTTCCTGATTTCCTGATTTTCTGATTTCCTGCATTCCTGATTTCCTGATTTCCTGATTTCCTGATTTCCTGATTTCCTGATTTCCTGATTTCCTGCATTCCTGATTTCTTGATTTCCTGATTTCCTGATTTCCTGATTTCCTGATTTCCTGATTTCCTGCTTTGCTGATTTCCTGATTTCCTGAATTCCTGATTTCCTGATTTCCTGATTTCCTGATTTCCTGATTTCCTGATTTTCTGATTTCCTGATTTCCTGATTTCCTGATTTCCTGATTTCCTGATTTCCTGATTTCCTGATTTCCTGATTTCCTGATTTCTAATTGTTCTGAAGTTCTAATTGATCTTGCCATTATAAATGAAAATGTTCATGCTATGGGACGGCATAAGCTAACACTTCAAACTTGGAGATTAGTACTCAGTAAAAGGTGTTGAACCACTCAAAGATATTTTTTTAACTAGTCCGTTTATTTGGAAAGCTCAATCGCGTTAGCTTTACGGAGCCGTTAGTTCATTGTTCTTTGTTACAAAATTCACTTAATTCTATGTCTAGTAGGAGTTGGGCCGAATATTCACGGCTTACCGGAGGTTAGAGAGGTACATTGTCGAAGGATAGGATCAGGGGAGGAGCTTGGGGGTGAGGTTTCGTTGTCTCATCAGAGCGTTGTCGCCAGTATGAACGGTAGTGTGGTTCTAATTTCGTCTGGAGTTCGACCGGCTATGGTGACCAGTGGACGACGATGAGACTCATCGAGACAGGGGGACAAGACAAACAAAAACTAATAAAGAGAGACAAAAGACAAAGAAATTAAATTCTTATACTAGACATTTGAAGAAATACATAAATCGACTGCAAATAGCAGAGATCGCGAGTTCCCAACAAGTCTTTGATAGGAACATAAGGTTGTCTTCCTTGGGCCTCAAGGGTATTCAAAAGTCGCTTTCTGGTGGCGTAATTATCCGTACATTGCCAAACTGCGTGATCAATGTCATCGTAACCGTTTCCACACCGACAGATGTTGCTGTCCACGAGGTTTATTCTATTGAGATGAGCATCTAGCGAGTAGTGGTTGGACATAAGTCTACTCATCACAGTCGTGACTTCACTTAAGTCCAAGCCTTTAAACCACGTTCTCGAAGAAACATTAGGAATAATTGAATGTAACCACCGTCCAAGATTTCTATTGTCCCAAATCGGTTTGCCAGCTCGAAAGTGTACTCTGACTCACCTTAATATTGTACATGTGAAATATAGCGCTTTCTTATCAGAACAAACACACCAAAAATCAGAGATGGCCCATTTTTTAATTATTTGATTAATAAATTATCGATTATTTTTGTGTGTCATTTTTCCACCTATGAGAATGCAGAACATGTTTGAAACGATGGGTGATAGTCATCTAGAGAAGTTGATGCTTACGTAATGCATAATATAATCGACTAAAATAGTTCATTCTTCAGTTCATTCATCGATTAATCCATTATTCGAATAAAAATCGGACACCGCTAGATGAATGGGAAACATCATATTGACAATTTGAAATATAAGGGCCGTTCATAAATAATGAGACTATTTGAAAGGGACGTGAGCTAACCACAAATTACGTCGCCACGAAAACGAAAAAAAAACGAAACCTGACCAGTTGGTTTTACTTATGAAAAATGTGAAGGATTTTTGGCGTATATTTCTGAAAAAAAAAACTTTACAAATCAATACATCAATATATCCAAAAGTACCACGCGTAATATTCAATCAAAATATCCGATTCACTAATAGCTAAAGCTCCCGCATTGGCATCGGCGGCAGCAGTGGAACCCGCATTTATAGCTCCACTGTCTAAACGGATGGCATACGGAATCCACTTCCGGATGTTGGCATTCTTCACCATGTAAAGCTTGAGATTCATCACTAGGCACTCGGAAGCGATTTTCGCTGCTTGCGCGCACTTGTCACAGCTCCCTTCGGCCTGCACTGCCGCCACGCACTGTGTCACATTGGCACGCCATTCGGCCTCGTTCTCACCGTATCCATTGCATTGAACCGATAGCCGCATCAAATCCGGGCCTGATTCGTCGCTGTACAAGGCCTGCTGGATGAGTAGACACCGCAGCAGACAGTCTCCTTCCGGAATGCTTTGCATACCATTCTGCACCACTTGATCCAGCTTGTCCGAGACACCCAGCATTGCCGCACATTTTTTTAGGATACACACTTGCTGGATATCCGTGAAGGGCACATATTTTAGACCCGTGACGTCCAGTTGACCGTAGTTGTTCAGATAGCAATCGACTGATGCCTGTGCACGTTTGCAACTGTCCCTTCGGGAGACCGTGGAGATGACTTCCTTCAAACACTGTTTGGTACGGTTACGGGAGCAGGGATTCTGCAGCTCTTGGGTGTAGAAACGCCCGGTCGAATCCGATAGAAGCCCAGTGGTGTCATTCCAGATGCGGTTCACTAGCGCTACGCAGCGGGTGTCGCATTGCTGCCGGAGGCCATCGGTTGACAGATACTGGTTGCATTCGCCGTATGAGGATTGAATACTTTTGAACTTAGCACTGTGTTCACCAACTGATGAGACTACATCGCTGATGATGGCAACGGAAACGGCTGTGAGTGTGAAAAGACAGGAGTACAATGGCATCGAAACTGGGTGACCGCATGGGTGCTTGAGAGTAGACTTTATGAGACTGCCGTTGGTTTGGAGCTGGATTTAAGTAGCCTAGACTGAGGGGCTATGCGATTAGACCGCAGTAACGTGAGTAAGTTTGCTAAATTGAAGCACGCGTTGGATGATAGCAAGTGCTAGATTAGACGAGATTGTAGAATTTCAACTCAACCTTGTTCCCAACTGAATAATAACCGTTTTTTTTTTGTCGGCGAATGAGGAAAGTAGGGGAAATGACGGCTTCGGCACTTCTTTACCTATTATCGTTAGGCATTGTTTTACAAAAAATTAGATTGGGTCTGTTTGTTTTCTGTCAAACGTCAGTGAGTACGTTTGTGTTTGTAACCTGGTTCGGTTTGAAGTTCGCTCCGACAATAAGCTCGGGTTCATACGGGTTGGAACTGGTTCCAACCTGGATAATAAACAAATTCGCTATAAGAACCCCCTGACGATAATAGGTAACGAAGTGCCGAAGTCGTAATTTTTCCTATGTCAAGCTGAACATTGCATTAGGTCCTAAGTAACATTGACAGATTCTCTTCAATACATCAATATATCCAAAAGTACCACGCGTAATATTCAATCAAAATATCCGATTCACTAATAGCTAAAGCTCCCGCATTGGCATCGGCGGCAGCAGTGGAACCCGCATTTATAGCTCCACTGTCTAAACGGATGGCATACGGAATCCACTTCCGGATGTTGGCATTCTTCACCATGTAAAGCTTGAGATTCATCACTAGGCACTCGGAAGCGATTTTCGCTGCTTGCGCGCACTTGTCACAGCTCCCTTCGGCCTGCACTGCCGCCACGCACTGTGTCACATTGGCACGCCATTCGGCCTCGTTCTCACCGTATCCATTGCATTGAACCGATAGCCGCATCAAATCCGGGCCTGATTCGTCGCTGTACAAGGCCTGCTGGATGAGTAGACACCGCAGCAGACAGTCTCCTTCCGGAATGCTTTGCATACCATTCTGCACCACTTGATCCAGCTTGTCCGAGACACCCAGCATTGCCGCACATTTTTTTAGGATACACACTTGCTGGATATCCGTGAAGGGCACATATTTTAGACCCGTGACGTCCAGTTGACCGTAGTTGTTCAGATAGCAATCGACTGATGCCTGTGCACGTTTGCAACTGTCCCTTCGGGAGACCGTGGAGATGACTTCCTTCAAACACTGTTTGGTACGGTTACGGGAGCAGGGATTCTGCAGCTCTTGGGTGTAGAAACGCCCGGTCGAATCCGATAGAAGCCCAGTGGTGTCATTCCAGATGCGGTTCACTAGCGCTACGCAGCGGGTGTCGCATTGCTGCCGGAGGCCATCGGTTGACAGATACTGGTTGCATTCGCCGTATGAGGATTGAATACTTTTGAACTTAGCACTGTGTTCACCAACTGATGAGACTACATCGCTGATGATGGCAACGGAAACGGCTGTGAGTGTGAAAAGACAGGAGTACAATGGCATCGAAACTGGGTGACCGCATGGGTGCTTGAGAGTAGACTTTATGAGACTGCCGTTGGTTTGGAGCTGGATTTAAGTAGCCTAGACTGAGGGGCTATGCGATTAGACCGCAGTAACGTGAGTAAGTTTGCTAAATTGAAGCACGCGTTGGATGATAGCAAGTGCTAGATTAGACGAGATTGTAGAATTTCAACTCAACCTTGTTCCCAACTGAATAATAACCGTTTTTTTTTTGTCGGCGAATGAGGAAAGTAGGGGAAATGACGGCTTCGGCACTTCTTTACCTATTATCGTTAGGCATTGTTTTACAAAAAATTAGATTGGGTCTGTTTGTTTTCTGTCAAACGTCAGTGAGTACGTTTGTGTTTGTAACCTGGTTCGGTTTGAAGTTCGCTCCGACAATAAGCTCGGGTTCATACGGGTTGGAACTGGTTCCAACCTGGATAATAAACAAATTCGCTATAAGAACCCCCTGACGATAATAGGTAACGAAGTGCCGAAGTCGTAATTTTTCCTATGTCAAGCTGAACATTGCATTAGGTCCTAAGTAACATTGACAGATTCTCTTCGTCGACTTTCTCTTTGCATCCTCACGGCAATGTAAAGACATTACCAGGTATTTTTAGGCACACAGATGAATAAAAGAAGCTTTTATCTAGCATATAATATGACCAACACATCAAGAAACGGTTCTGTGATCAAGCTATTAACGAAAAAGAAAGTCGACGAAGAGAATCGATCAATGTTACTTAGGACCTAATGCAATGTTCAGCTTGATGTGAGTTTTAAATTGAAGCTTCTTTGTTGTCTGAAAAGATAGCCAGATGAACATTTTAAAAGGTCCTATCTGCATCGATCGACCCTCTTCATCGACTTTCTCTTTCGTTAATAAATCAGCTTCAAAAACATTCCCTGTTGTGTTTGACATTTTGGACGCTAGATTAGTTCCTTCGTTTTGCAACTATGTGGCCTATTTTTTATAGAACAACTTGAATTACTCTTCACAGTTTTTAAGCGTCAACATGTGCGTCATAAACAGATCTAAAATTTATTAGAAAACGACTTTTTCATAAAATTAAAATAAGAAAGTTAGAGTAAAACTGCGGCCGGCGACGGCACAACGCTTGATGTAGCAAAGTAGTAAAATAACGTTTATTTCTGTTGATTATGATTGTACATTGATTTGACATTTCAATAGATTAGCCTCTTCAGAGGCTCTTCAGATTTGTTTAATTGAATATTCTAATATAATGTATGCGTTTATCATCTAGTTTACAGAATGGGGGGGGGGGGGTGTTTCGCTTCAATTGAAAAATTTGATAACCTACCTAACTACGCGTATAACTTAACAGGTGTCTCTGAACCTTTCCAAGAAGGCCGTTCTTCGCTCTTCCAGAGACTGGAGACCAGCCAGGCGGCAGACCTCAGAATATTGCGTCCGTGGAGGACTGTTTAGGATCATCCTAAGGCTCTTGTTCTGGATCCTTTGGAGTTTAAGGTGATGGAAGTTGGCGCAACTCCCACAGATTTGCATACCGTACTCAATTACGGGAAGGATGATTTGCTTGTAGACAGCAAGCTTATTTTTCAGGGACAGGGTAGACCTCCTGTTGATAAGGGGATACAATGATCTTATCAAGATGTACCATTTGGTTTTCGTTCTGTCAACGCGCTCCCTGAAAAGCAGCCCCCTGTCAAGAGCCAGTCCGAGGTAAACTACCTCTTTGGACCATTCCACCAGGCAAATTTTGTTATTCTCAGACGGAACAAGTCTGGGAGATTTAGAGTGTGGAAAGATGATGACCTGGGTCTTCACCACGTTGATACGGATCTTCCAGCTGTATGCCAAAAAGAAATGTATGCCCTTTTCACATATGGCTCTTGAAACGACCTTTGCTGGAGGTAGTTACGGGTGATTTTAACCAGATGTAATGGGAAATTGAAGTTACAAAGCTTGTACACAAGTCCGTCGTGCCAGACGTTGCCAAACGCCTTTTCAACGTCTAGCAAGGCCATGGCTGTGGACTTGGATACAGCTTTGTTACTTCGGATGCTATTCATCACCCGTACTAGCTGGGGGAGTGCCCCTTCCTGAACCCGAAGTGTTCCGATAGAAGAATGTTGAACAATTTGGTCAGCACTGAAAGGTCTATAGCTTGAAGGCAATGTTGGATCCTTACCGGGTTTGTGGATTGGTATGATTTTTGCTACCTCCCAGACGCTTGGAAAGTAGTGCAGTTCCAAGCATCTGTTGAAGATAGCGGTTATAAGAGATTGCACTTTCATGCTGAGTCTCTTCAAGATCAAGTTGAATATACCGTCAAACCCGGGAGTCATCGGGAACGGGTTTGGGATGAGTTTTCAGAACCTTGGCTACCTTCCATACGCCCGAAACTTTCATTTCGGAGTGAGTCCATTCTGGAAGCAATCTGCAAACTGAGCACCGGTCATGTTGACGAAGATTTCCATCAGTTCATCTGCTGAGAACAGATCGGGATGATTTTTTTTAGCTGTTGGTGGTCTTGCTGGCACTGCGTTACGTCATGATGGCCGCCACGGCATGGCTCCCACCGTACGGTTATGGAGTAGATCGAGCGGATGGCTTGCAGCACATTAAGCGTCACCGTCCCTTTCTGGGAGTGCACCAGGAAAAGACAATCCGGGTACGTCTTCACGCTTTCGTCTCTCCTCGTCATCTGGAAGACAGCGATTGGGACCAGCTTGATTTCGGCTTCGATCATCTTTGGGGTTAAAGTTTGGTAAGCCCCTGATGACTACCTTGAAGGGCTTCTCACCGGGGATGTCATGTGTGAAATATTCCGCCTTGGAATCCTTCAGGTGTTTCACGGCCACTTCATACTCCGCTTTTGTACGGAGCATCACTTAGGAGCCGATCCTGCTTAGCTTGTACTCAGCTGCAACGCCCAGCGATGTGAAATCGCCAATGAGCATGTTGAGTGGCACTTTCTTCACCACCAGTGCGGGAAGCTTCATTTTTGCCGCACTCGGGCCGGCAAAATTCTCGTTGTTAACGGCGTCGCCGAAATCACCGCACCATCGGACTGGCCTTGATTTTTCTTCCTCTTCTTGGTCTGTTTCACCGTAACGGAGGTCGTATTCCCAACATCGGTGGGAAGAGTAGCGTACCTATTCGAAATAGGTACACTCGAGCTACCCTCACCATTGGTCTTCTTTTCCGTTTTCTCTCGGAGTCTGCTCCGGGAGCGCTGCCGTCCCATCACACAATGTGACCGACACAACTCACGACGCGAATAAACGCGTAACGAACTGTAAACTTATCGAACAACTCGACAGAGCGAGCAAAGACCGAACTGAACTGCATGATGAACAAGCAGAGAATCAAGATCGAACAAATTACTAACTACTAACTACTAACTAACTAAAATTATGTAAATTTCTGTTTGTTGATGATTGTACATTGATTTAACAGTTTATTTGATTAGCCTACTTAGTTCTTCATCTTTGTTTCATTGGATATTCTAATTTAATATTTTCGTTTTTCAACTACGAGTATAACTTAACCTAACTACGAGTATAACTTAACCTAACGTGCTAGATCACGTATGATCTGATGAGTTGATCTCAGACGTGTCTCTGAACCTTTCCAAGATAAAAACTCTTTCCTTTCTTCTAATGTCTGAATTCCAGCCAGGAGGTGGATCTCAGAATTTCTCAGTATTTCTAGTCCGCAGGGGACTGTTGCTAAGGACCATGCTAAGGATCTTGTTTTGGATCCTTTGGAGTTTAAGGTGATGGCATCTTGCGCAACTCTCCCAGATTGGCATACCGTATTCTATGACGGGAAGGATGATTGGCTTGTAGACAGCAAGCTTATTTTTCAGGGATAGAGTAGACCTCCTGTTGATGAATGGATACAGTGATCTTATCAAGATGTTATACTTGGTTTTCGTTTTATCAACGTGCTCTCTGAAAATCAGCTTGCTGTCTACTACCTCTTTCAACCATTCCACCACTGTGCCGTTCAGGCAGATCTTGTTATTCTCCGACGGAACAAGTCTGGGAGATTTAGAGTGTGGAAAGATAATGACCTGGGTCTTTGCCGCGTTGATACGGATCTTCCAGCTGTTGAAGTATTCAGACAGGACGTCTAGGCCTCTCTGAAGTTTGGCAGTCAGAGCTCCGATGACCCTACTGTTGTGACGGCCGAGAATTAATTACACAACATTTAACGAGTATTTAATTGTGTTTATTCAATATAATAATGATGGAGTTTGTCTCGTGGGTTTTCTTCACTCTCTCGCCTGTTTGAGCTTCTTCTTTCTACTCCGCGAATCGAATGACATGACAAAAAGCAAGGTGTTTAAATATAAGGTGAAGTGATACACTCAAAGAAATAGCAATATTACAACACCTCTCCCTCTCGTAATAAATGCAAGTATGACGTCTATAAATCAAGCTTCTGATGTGGTTTGATTGAACGACTTGAGCGCCTTAAGGGCATGCTACTACTATTACCTTCAACAGTTTGATGGTCATCTGATTGAAAAGGTATTACTTCTGGATAGAGTTGACTGGTGTAGCTGAATGTTGAACCGCAATTACCGGTGTGGTACCTACAATTTCTTCTTCCGATACTACAGACCTTGCAGGAGAGTTCATCGAAGCAGACGATTCAGTTACCGGCATATACCATTCAACGACTACCTCGTTTCTAACGGTATCCAACGATTTTCCTTGTAGATTGGCTACAACTCCAGCAATATGATCAATGTGGCGTTCCCAGATTCTGCCATCGTTCAGACGAACGCAGTAACGTAACTTCCCAACCTTCTCGACAATTTTCCCAAACTTCCATTTATCGTTGGACAAAAAGTCTGTGACACGCACCGAATCACCATCATGGAACTGACGAACGACGTAATTCTTGTTTCCTTTTGACTCATTCTTTGGCAACAGCAAATCCAATCTCGATCGTAGTTGGCGACCGAACACAAGCATCGAAGGTGACTTACCGGTGGCCGGATGAATCATTTTCCGGTAGGTCAATAAAATGTTTGACAGCTCCAAATTCATCTCCGCCTTTGAACACTTCAATGCCTTCAGCTTATGTTTGATCGTTTGAACGTAACGTTCCGCTTGTCCGTTTGTTGCAGGGTGGTATGGTGTGCCCATCTTGTGGGTAACGCCGTTCATTTGTAAAAACCGCTGAAATGTTGCTGCAGTGAATTGAACTCCGTGGTCACTCACCAGTAGCGACGGTATGCCGTACGTAGCAAAAATGTCTCGAAACATGTTGATAGTGTTTTCAGCAGTTATAGACTTACAAATCATCACGATTGGCCACTTGCTGTACGCGTCCACGTAGATGAAGAAATACGTATCCAAGTATGGCCCAGCGAAGTCAACGTGGACCCTTTGAAACGGCTCCGTTGGTGGCTCTCAGCAATGTAATGTCATCTTGGCTGGTTCAGCTCGCACTGCCTGACAGTCTGCACAGTTTGCAATCATCTCTTCTATTTCCCGGTCAATTCCAACCCACCAGCAGTAGCCTCTAGCCAATGATTTGGTACGTGTGTTACCGAAGTGAGCGCTATGAAGTTCTTCAAGCACTCGTCTTCTGAGGTTTGGTGGGACGTAGACACGAATTCCTCGTAGCAAACAACCATTCTGGAGAGAAAATTCATTTTGATCCACTCCGAACCGGTCCTTTGGTTCAACAGTTTGTCCGTATTTGAGGCCTTGGATTAGGACCCGCAGTGATGACTCTTCGGAAGTAGCTTGGGCTAACTCAGCAGCAGTTAGTGGCAATGTGTCAATCTGATTCATCTCAATGACATCAGTCTCTTCGATTGTATCCTCCGCACCCGTATTGCCTAACGGAATGCGAGAAAATGCATCAGCATTAGCGTTATTGGTTGATTTACGAAATCGGATCTCATAGTCAAAAGATTGTAAATACGTTGCGTAATGTTGCATCCGTAAAGCTGACATCACGGGCAGACCCTTGTGCTCTCCGAATATCTTTGTTATCGCCTGGTTGTCCGAGATAAGAGTAAACTTCCGGCCGTATAGGTACTGAAAATACTTCTTCACACCAAAGATGATAGAGTACGCTTCTTTGTTTGTTGTACGATTCAAAGTTTTTGATGCAAACTGTATGGGTCGTTCCGATCCGTCTGGCATAATATGGCTCAATACTGCCCCCACTCCGTAGGGAGACGCATCCGTGGCAAGAATCAGGGGAAGCTCTGGTGAGTAATAAACCAGGCAGTTACCGGACTGTATGAGTTCCTTGAGCTTCAAAAACGATTGCTCACATTCTTTGTTTCAGTTGAACGGTACATCGTTTCTAAGTAAATTATTCAAGGGATGCAACACTGTACTTAGGTTCTTAAAGAACCGGCCATAATAATTGACCAATCCAATGAATGATCTTACCTCATCTCTGTTCTTTGGATGCGGCATACCTTGAACAGCATCCACTTTCTCTCGAAGTTTGTGAATTCCCTCCTTGTCAATTAAGTACCCACAGTACTCAATCTGGTCTGCAAAAAAACGCCGTTGTCTTTGTTCACGCTGATTCCACATTTGTCCAACCACTGGAGAACTTCTTCTAGCCGAACCAGGTGTGTTTTATCGTCGGAAGCAGTAATCTTAATATCGTCCAGGAATACCCCTACGCCATCAATTCCCTGTAGTATGGCCTCCACCTGCCTTTGCCAGATTGCAGGGGCGGATGCCACACCGTACATCAACCGGTTCGGACGGTACAGGCCACGATGTGTACTTAAAGTAAGAATTTCCCTATCCTCTGGAGCCACCTCCATCTGCAAGTATGCCTGGACGAGATCGATTTTAGTAAATTTCTGTCCACCAGCAAGTGAAGCAAATAACTCGTCGACTGTGGGAAGTGGATGCTTATCCACCACCAAGCTCAGGTTCACTGTTTGCTTATAGTCTTTTTTACTGGTACTATTGGTGTGGCCCAGTTGCTTTGGTTCACTTTTGTCAGCACTCCTTCCGCAACCAGCTTATCCAATTCCGTTTCCACGATCTTTTGCAGACTGAACGGTATTTTTCGCGCTTTAAGGTACACTGGTTTAGCATTCTCCTTCAACGGCCATTTAGCTTGGACACTCGATATTTTTCCGATTTTATCTTCGAAGACTTTTGGATATTTATCTTATCCAGTACTTTTCCCAACGCAGCATTCTGACAGGACCTCGTAGCAGCGAGTACATTCACCACATTCGGGTTTTGAAGCACTGTATTCCAGTCAACTGGCAATTCTTTCAACCATTCGCGACCGAGTAAGGGATGTTTATCCGATTTCGCGACGTACAACGGCAGCTCCACCGATTGGTGCTGAACTTCCACAACCATATCAAGCACTCCCAGCACAGGTATGCTGGTGCCACAGTAGCTCACGAGGCTCAAATCACTTTTCCGTAAACACACATTTGAAAAGTATTTGTCCCGAAACCACTCATTGATTATGCTGACCGGCGATCCCGTATCGACTTCAAACTTCATGTACACTTTGTTTACGCGTACTTGGAACCAAAACTTTTCGTTTCCCGACGTTTTATCCACGACGCACACTTCCTGCACTTTTACCTCATCGTTGTTATCAGCATTCGCGGTGTGATCAACATAATTGGATTGAGCCGATTTATTTTTATACGCGGATTGGCCCGATTTCGCTTTCTGCATGCACACCCTGGCGAGGTGTCCAGTTTGCTTGCAAAACAAACACTCCGTGTCTTTGTGTTTACACACGATCGCCAGGTGCGACTTTGCTCCACATCGATAGCAACTTTTTTTCCGAATCATTAGCGCTGTCTTTATGCACTTTCTTCTTTTCCGGTTGACGGTGAACTACATGAACATCACTCCTGACAAATTGTCCTTCAATTTCAGCTCCTCCTTTGCGGGACAGCTCCATGCCTACAGCAATGTCTCGAGCATCCTGTAGAGTAAGATTCCGCTTTTCGAGCAACCGGCTGCGAATATCATTCCTCTTGATTCCAAAAACCAGCTGATTTCGTAGGGCCTTCTCGAGATACTGATCGAAATTACATGTGATGGCTATTCTACGCAAGGCCACCAAGTATTCATCTACTGTCTCCTCCGCCGAAACCGCGTCTTTATCACCTTGGCGCCGACAATTGAAACGGTAGTTTTCGGAAATTTCCAACCGCTGCGGGTTGTAATAGGCTTCCAGCAATTGCACAATCTCCTGGAAAGTTTTCGTTCGTGGGGATGCAGGTGCAAGTTTGTCGCAAATGACATCATAAGACTCCGGTCCCATATGATGCAGCAATAAATTCCTTCGCATCTCTACATCCGCAACCCCGTAGATAGAAAGAGCTGTTTCCAACCGTTCCACCCAACGTGGCGCAGCTGCAGCAGCAGCACCAGCAGCTGGACCCAGCATCTTTTCCTTGCGACAACTTTTGCACTTTCCCAGTTATTCCCGTCAATCCTCGTCACCAGAACTGTTGTGACGGCCGAGAATTAATTACACAACAGTTAACGAGTATTTAATTGTGTTTATTCAATATAATAATGATGGAGTTTGTCTCGTGGGTTTTCTTCACTCTCTCGCCTGTTTGAGCTTCTTCTTTCTACTCCGCGAACCGAATGACATGACAAAAAGCAAGGTGTTTAAATATAAGGTGAAGTGATACACTCAAAGAAATAGCAATGTTACAACACCTACCCTTGTAGACGATGGATGTGTCATCTGCGAACAGAGACAACGATCCACAATCAGGGAGAGCCGGCATATCGGAGGTGAACAGGTTGAATAGGATGGGGCAAAGATGCTTCCTTGTGGAACCCCGGCACCGATGTTGAAAGCATCCGATGTGATGCCATTCAGAGAGACTCGGAACGTCCTGTCCGATAGATAGTTGTTTATTATCTTCACTAGGAAGATTGGAAGACCGTACTGCTGCAATTTGAACACCAGGCCATCATGCCAGGCATTGTCGAATGCTTTTTCAACGTCCAACAACGCCATGGCAGATGTTTTCGAAACAGACTTGTTCCGTCTGAGAATGTTTGTTACTCGAGTCAGCTGGTGGACGGTTGAACGACCTTTCCGAAAACCAAACTGTTCCTCGAGTAAGATGTTGTTTTCTTCTATGCCGGTGGTAGACTGCTCTTTCGAACAGTTTTGATAACCCTGACTTACAACACGAGGGGAAGTAGCCAAGTCGGAGGCACAGATTAAAAATCAGTGCCAGATGGTTGTAGAATCTAGAACTCAAGTGTTTGAGTTCCAGATTCAGGATGTTGTCGAAACCTGGTGTCTTTTTTTTTTCCTTGATTTGTTTTCCGTCGATCTTGTTTTCCGTGCTGAGCACCAATGCACAGTGGTACAGAATGCAGATTTAGGTGGAATGATATGTTTTGAGTCTGAAATTGAAACTTTAGACTAAAAGTCTCTTCTACAAAGTTGTTCCTTATAGTTAGGCCCTCATTTTTATGACAATGAATTCTAGGGTGGTTCCTATTATCATTAAAATCAAATATCTAACTTTTTTGTTTGAATAAATTTAAGTATACATTCTTCGGCAAAGTTATAGCTGAGCTAATTTCAAGCAACTATGTTGAAAATAACTTTTTTGTATCTCTTAAATTGGCCGATTTAGAGCTATTTTCTTGAATTGAGTTAGGGTGACTCTTAAAAAAACAGTTTTTTTGCTCTATTTTTCTTATTTCGAATTTCTCAGCAAAGGTGTCTTCAGATAACTTTTAGATCTTAAGAAGGCGCAAATTTTTGCTGCACAAAGTTTGTCAATATCTTTCGCCGATCAAGAGTTATTGACGTTTTTATACTAAAAATATGCACTTTTCAAATGTTAATATCTCTGGTTGGGGCAAACAAAAAAAAAGTTTTTTTGCAGCATTTGAAAGGGCGTATGTTATTCTCAATAATATGAAAAAATTAGAGGTATGTTATTTTTTTAAATTTGTATAAAATCAATTTGAATTTATTCATATTTTTTACTATATTTGAGTATATCTTTTTTATTATAAGAGATACAGGCAACAAATTCAGCTATAAACATTCGTCTTAAAGAGTTTTAAAAGTTGTTAGTATAAAAACGTCAAAAACTCTTGATCGACGAAAGATATTGACAAGCTTTGTGCTGCAAAAATTTGCGCCTTCTTAAGATCTAAAAGTTATCTGAAGACAACTTTGCTGAGAAATTCGAAATAAGAAAAATAGAGCAAAAAAACTGTTTTTTTTAAGAGTCACCCTAACTCAATTCAAGAAAATAGCTCTAAATCAGCCAATTTAAGAGATACAAAAAAGTTATTTTCAACATAGTTGCTTGAAATTAGCTCAGCTATAACTTTGCCGAAGAATGTATACCTTAATTTATTCAAACAAAAAAGTTAGATTTTTGATTTTAATGATAATAGGAACCACCCTAGAATTCATTGTCATAAAAATGAGGGCCTAACTATAAGGAACAACTTTGTAGAAGAGACTTTTAGTCTAAAGTTTCAATTTCAGGCTCAAAACATATCATTCCACCTAAATCTGCATTCTGGACCACTGTGCAATGCTACCGACGCCAGGAAGGCAGCTCCCACACCTGGACCCTAACTATCGACCCATCAACTCATGAACCGGGGGCCAACGGCTTTACTTCCCTTCCGAAGGAAGGCGTGAGCAGAGATGTTATACCTCAGAACATCCCGGCGTCGCCGACTGGGATTGAACCCAGGCCTGCTGGGGTGAGAGGCAATCACGCTTACCACTACACCAGCAGCGCCGCTGAACCTGGTGTCTTCGTGTTTTTAGATTTGATATAGGCCAACAGTTCGTCAGCCGTAATCTCGGATTCCTCGGGAAAAATAATGGGAATCTGATGGAGTTTGGTTACGTTTTCAGCAACCTCAGCTTCGTGAGGGCTGACGATGTTTTGCCCGAGATTATGGGAGCTGATGAAGTGTTGACCTATCGCGGCAGCCTTCTCTTCAGGAGTTATCAGATGAACCACTGGGTCGCCGGGACGATCCAGTGCACAGTGGGGCGACTCCATACAAAGTCTGGCCAAGCAAATAATTAAGTTATTATAAAAAACAGCACAAATTAAAAATCACAATTGGTCAAATTTGTATTTTCCTTCTACTTAAACTTCTTCCTTATCATCAGCATCATCATATTCTTCTTCTTCTTCTTCTTCTGCTTCATCATCATCATCATCATCGTCATCATCATCATCATCATCTTCTTCTGGTACCATTTCGTTTGAGTCAGTTTTTGTCTTCATCAGAAATTTAACTTCCTCTGGTAGACTTTTAAAATTATGTTTTTCCTTCTCATAATAAGAGTTAACCATTGGATCGGTGGTGATAAGAAGGCGATTAATAATATCCCGATTTGTGTTTTCACGCTTATCCTTCCGAGTGAAATGCTCTCTAGTGTTTTTAATGACTTTGTTACATTTTTCTTGAGCCTCCTCCGTCATTCTTCCGATCGGCAATATCACCGCCTGAGCAATGCTATGCCCATGAATCAAAATTCTGTTCATCGACGACGGCATTTGAATTCAGCTGGGTCTATTTGCTGGGAACAAGAAATTGCAATAAGAATGTTCCGAAGTCTTGTAATCAACTCCAAATCTACTCCTGTGATTTTGGAACTGACTTTAGGATTGGCAAAAAATCTACGAGCTGTATTGCCGTCATTGCTGTTGCCAAGTCCTCCTGGCTTCGGTTTGTCGACAATCAGACCCATTTTGCTCTTGAAGCTTGCCTGAATTATTTTCTTGTTCGCCTCGAACTGCGTTTCAAAACCAGATTTTCTCCAGCGTTTGAAGCTCAGGCGATACGCAATGTGGATCATGCACTCAAAGCAGCGTATCCAACCGTGCAGCGAAGAAATTCCGTAGTTTAGATAGTCTTCATTTACTTTTGTTTTGCATTTTAACACCGTTGTGCAGAACTTGTATTGACACATTTTCCGTCGATCATTGTGAGGAAAAGAGAAAACGAAACGACGATTTTGCTGCTCTTCACCATCCCCTCATAAGGTTTCAATGCACTAATTTCGCTTTCGATACGGCTAACTTCGGTTTGAATCACTTCATCAGTTTCTGTACAAAATTGTAAATGAAGCGGTCTACACCAATATGATGATCCTGGTCGATCATTATCCCATATAATGTCCTCTATGTTCCAATCATCTAGCAACCGCAATGGAGCAAATGATGAAAAAAAAATATTGGAATCACTATTTACTCTGTGAGTCCAGAAGCACCATCACAACCCCACTTGGCAATCAAAGTCAAATGCTTCTCCTTACCATGTTGCAATCGGGGTTCAATAGTACTTTCTAGCAGCAGCAGGAACCTTTCAGCGGTTTTATTTAGAATAGCCTGGAGATCAATCTTCACATTGCATTCTATGACAAAAAATGCGTTTTGCGGAAGATAACATTCCTTTTTGGATCTTTGTACTTGGTAGTACGGTGGGTACCTGAAATAATAAAACCATTGTATTTTACATACAAACTCCTTACTTTAAACTTAATACCTGTCTTTTACTGGTTCCCTAATAATGTTGTAACTATATCTCGTCAGTTTTGCCAAATGTACAACGCCTTCTCAGGTGTGATTTGAGTGATTTGGTTGTTGAGATCAATAGCCTGTTTAATTAAATTTGCTTAACTGATTTGACGAATATTTTGCTCTAATTTCCTCAGTACGGCGCCGCTTCGACCGATCACTGCATTCTTCAAAAGCTTTTTCAGATTTTCCTAGCCGCCAAGGTGCATCAGATGGTGGTATTGCATATTCCTCTAACCAATCTGAATGGTCCTTCTCAAATCGGTCGCGCTTCCGTTGGGATTGCAGAAATTTCCTGTTGAATGCTTTCCAAAAAATTTCAAACTCTTTTTTCGCATTCGAAGGAAAGCATTTTTCCGCGGCTGCTTTCATCTTTTCTAGCGATTCTTGATGTTTCATCGTTTCTTAAATCTGTTTTCTTTTTAGTCCGTTTCCTTTAGATTAAATGAAAACAAAACGATTTTTATAACGGTATTGAAAATATATGAATTAAAACGAAATGTTAGATCACTATTTCACGACATAAAACGCAAATAAATTCACCATAAATAAAAAAAACTTATTGTTACGGTACGGGCGATCGCTCTCGTATAGACAGTGGTTATTCAGGATTCATCGCAATTAATTTGTTTTCCAAATGAAACTTACTTGTATTTGCATTATCTGTATCTATCGCTGATTTGGATTCCATAATTAATTTAGATGATAACGTATAATAACAATAACTTCAAACCGATAAACGTATTTGTGAAATATATGGATAAACTGATACCGTAAAACGAGGTAACATTTGATAGTTTTTTAAAGTATATTCTAAATATTTTTACGGCAATGAATGGTTTTCAAA